ATTGATCGATTCAATGAACCTGCAAAATTTATTCTTTTCTTATTATGAAGCTACAATTGGACATGAACCTTTCTACTTTCACAACTCAAACTAGAAACCACTAATCTCATCCAAAGGTTGATAACTTGGGTTTGGGGGCATTAACGACACAGATGTCAAGAAGACGATCAACTGATGTACCCCGAGGTGGATTTTCTATCTGAGACATTTCCGGCCCAATCTGCATCTGTGTAGCATTCTATCTTTAGATGATCATTTTTTGAGAACATGAGTTCTTTTCCAGGTGAGGACTTCAAGTATCGAAGAATCCGCATTACAACATTCATGTGATCTTCGCTTGGGCAGTGCATGAACTGACTTACTACGCTGACGGCATAGGCGATGTCTGGACGAATATGGGAAAGGTAAATGAGTTTACCCACCAGCCTTTGGTATCTCTCCTTATTGGTAGGTACTTGGTCTGGGTATTCTCCAAGTCTAGTTCTGAACGATTGGTGTGTCTGCCAGTTTGCACTCCAACTGTCCCACTTCGGAGAGTAAGTCCAAGGTGTATTTCCATTGGACAGGAATATGCCTTCCTTTGATCTAGCAACTTCAATCCCTAGAAAGTACTTGAGCCCACCTAAGTTCTTCATCTCAAACTCGGTTGCCAATAGCTTCTGCAGTGTTGCTATTTCTCCTGAATCATTCCCTGTGATAATCATATCATCCACGTATATTATTAGGGCTGTCACCTTTCCTCGTTGGTGCTTCAAAAATAGTGTATGATCTGAATTGCTTTGCTGGAAGCCATATTTTTTCATCGCAAGATTGAACCTCCCAAACCATGCCCGTGGAGATTGTTTTAGTCCATATAGTGCTCACTGTAGCTTACACACAACTTGGTTCTTGGAGTTTGTTGTATAACTAGGTGGGATGTCCATGTATACCTCCTCTTCAAGATCACCATGGAGGAAGGCGTTCTTCACATCGAATTGGTGTAGTGGCCAATCAAGATTTGCTGCAAGAGATAATAAGACTCTGACCGTATTTAGCTTGGCTACTGGGGAGAAAGTCTCTTGATAATGTACGCCCTGTGTCTGGGTATATCCTTTTGTGACCAACCTTGCTTTGTATCTCTCGACTGTCCCGTCTGCCTTGTATTTGACGGAAAATACCCATTTACACCCTACCGATCTTTTCCCTTCAGGCAAGGTGACTAGAGTCCATGTTTTGTTCTTCAGTAGTGCCTCCTTCTCTTCTTGTATGGCCCGAGTCCATTTCGGGTTTGTCAAAGCTTCTTGAACACTGGTGGGAATATGATTAGAGGACAATTCTTGCACAAATGATTTTAGAGGTTTGGTGAGTCTCTTCGTTGATACATAGTTGGCAATTGGATACTTTGTCCTCCTATCCTCAACATCTGGAGAATATCTGTTTGGTGGTTTGCCATGATTATGCTTGAAAGGTAAGGTGTAGCCAGCCGAAGTATCGTTAGAGCTTGAAGGTGTGGTAGGGGAGGTTACCTCGTTGATGCTCTCACGTGCTTCCGAGATATCCTCAAGAGGTGGGCTTTCCGGTACTCGCAAGGTTGGGGTCTCTACTTCTTCTGCTGGTAGAGGCGGCGATGCTGACGTTGAGGTCTCTGTAGATATTTCTGGTGTAGTCTCTATAGGTGTCTTACCGGTGGCTTCATTGACCACCATTTCTGTTGAAGCACTCGTATTCGGCCAATCGGGTAAAAACCAGTTCTGTTCTTCACTCTGACTCTCCCCCTGAAGAGAAGAATTGGTTGTGGAAGGAGAGTAGAAGGTTTCAGATTCCAGAAAGGTGACATCCATGGTAACATAGGTACGGTGGGTGACTAGGTCATAACATCGGTACCCTTTCTGGTGTAGCGCATACCCCAAGAATATGCATCGAGCTGCCCGTGGATCCAGTTTTGTACGTTGATTTTGATGTAGATGCACAAATGCCACACAACCAAAAACTCGAGGTGGAATCATCAAAACAGAAGGCAATGAGACATGAGATGAAAGAGCTTGTAATGGTGTTTTAAACTGTAAGACCCGTGATGGCATTCGGTTAAGGAGGTGCACGGCGGTAGCAACAGCATCAACCCAATGTTGGTTTGGTACATGTGCTCCAAGTAACAGGGCACGGGCAGTTTCGAGTATGTGCCGGTTCTTCCTTTCAGCAATGCCATTCTGCTGTGGAGTTTGGGGGAATGAAGTCTCATGAAGTAATCCATGGACCCGAAAATAATCTTGGAACCATTGATTCATGTATTCCCCGCCATTATCAGACCGGAGTACCTAGATCTGTGATTTGAACTGAGTCTTCACCATTATATGGAAGGATTGAAAGACGGTCAACACTTCATCTTTATGTTTTAGCAGATATAACCATGTCATGCGAGTGCAATCATCAACAAAGATTACAAACCCTCGGAATCCAGAAACTATAGTCACCGGGGATGGCCCCCACACATCCGAGTGAATCAAAGCAAATGGAACTTGACTTTTACTCATACTTAAGGGATAGATGGTTCTATGACTCTTAGCTAGGATGAAAGTGTTACATTGAAAAACATGCGGCTRTATATCTGAAAATAACTCTAGAAATAAATG